ATCCATCATGAAAAAGAAAACAAACTAAAGATAAGAGAATTGACCAGTGTCCAAATATGTCCTGCCGTGCTGTTTCATGTCAGTAGAAGCTCAAAGTTTCACAACTACAACGCTCAGGAAGGTGATTCTTCATAGCATTAAGGAAGGTGCACTCCAAATCCTTCTTAGTTTTCTGATATCAATTCCTCCTCACCTCTCTCTCTCTGTATGGTCCACCATCCAAGCCATTCCTGTTGCTAATTAATCACCTCCACTGAGAATGTAATTAGTATCTTAATTAGGATCATCATCCAGTAGTGCTACAGCATGGTCTAAACCAGCTGTGAGGTACTGGCTAGATCTTACAAAACCCTACAGCTCCTGTGGAACCCTCCTGCTGAGAAGGAAGGCTGTCAAGACTCCCTAATTTTTCTCTGTCTGAAGGAGTTTCTTGATTAAACATTATCAGGGAAAGCAGCATTTACCGATTAGGCTCTCATATGTTGTCACGCAGCCAGAGTAGAGAGAAAATGCTCATTTTTGACATGTCTACTGGCAAACAAAGGTTGATTACCACATTCTTATGGCGGTGATTGAAAGAAATCTGAAACATTGTTTGCATTACTAACAAGCCTTAAAAAATTAGAACTGACATTCAGAGTGTGACAAGTACTTCTTGCTGAAAGCAAAAATAAATTTCCTTCTGTTGTCCTAATTTTTAAGTGTTGTCTTTTTGAGATGTTGCCAGATTGTTACATAATGGTGTTGTACCCATCTCTTTCCTCCACAAATTGGCCTGTTGGGGAAAAACAGTGGCATATTGGTTCCAGGGACAGAAATGATCAGTAATGTATATCAGGAGGTGATGCTTGTGCCTTCATCTTCAAACATATTGAACAGGGAACATGGAAACAATCTAGAGATGAATCCACTGTGCATAGATGAGGATTCACTTTTTTCTTTTGTTGTGAATGGGTGTATCTACATGTGCAATTAATGTAACACAAACTACTCCGGCACACATTGTTCCAGAGTTTGTTGCTCCCAGGCGCCATGTTTACACTTATAGCTGGGACCGCAGCATGTTGAGCCAGGCTGGAGCAGCCCTGGCTGGCAGGAAGCCTGGGACAGGAGCCCAGGGCTGTTCCAACTTAGTTCAACCTACTGTGGAAGAGCTGTTCGGGGCATGAGAGTTCTCCAATGCTGGGCTAGCTGGAAGGCAGCCCCTGCACTGAAGCACTCTCATGCCCCCACCAGCCCCATCAACATCTACATGTGCATTGCTGTGCACTAAAGAGCTTGGCCGCAACTCCACCTATCGTGGCGTTAATTAGTTTACTGTGGCCTAAGAGGGTTGTACGTACATGTAGATGTGGAGACTTTACTGCAGAGCTAATTAGGCAGCTCTGCAGTAAACGTCTCGCGTAGACATGTCCAGAAGTAGAAGTAGTTGCTGTGCATACCAAGGGATGGAATACACCTGATAGCAAATTTGGCCAGCCTGTTGATATGGAATTTATTCAGATACTTAAAACCCCAAGATGCATAAAAGTCCAGAGACAGCAATAAACTGCAAGGGATATAAGGCTCAAAATTATATATTCCTGGACTTTTACCTTCTGGCTTTTGATTGACGTGTAATTTGAGATCCTATGGGAATGAGCTTCAGCTTTATGTTAAAGAAAAGTTCTCTGTAGAAAACCGTTGTGTATAATCTTGCTAACTCTGCCACAATATGCAATTTCTTGAAAAGGGATAAATTGACGCTAGACTACCCTGTGAAATCCATGACCAAAACAGAATGCACCTTTGTTTAATTAGTTACTAATACTTATACAATATTTTGGTGGTTCATAAACTCAAGTTGATCTATTTAAAGAGGAATCACATCCAGAAAAATCTATAACAAAACCCTTTAAAATGTGTGTATCTCAGTCAACACAAAGAGATGAAGTAAGTTAATCTCCTGTTTGCAAAACTGAGAGACTGGAGGTATTCTTGTTAGGTTTTCCTATTAAGATATTACCGTTGTTCAGTATTTAAGACACAGGAAGGTGGGTACATTTGTATTATAATACAAGTGAGAATGGTTCTTGAGCCAGGTAAGATTCCCTAAATCTTTGTCAGACGCATCTTCCTGAGTTGTCATAGAACAGGAGTGGGCAACATAGAGTCCACAGGCTGGATCAAGACTGTGGAGCCACTTGATCTGGCACATGGGAGCTTGGTACGATGGGGCCTTCAGCAGTGCATTGTCAGCAAGAGACCTTTCCTGCCTTTGTGGTGGAGCCAGGTGACTGGGTGTTGCCCAACCTCCGGAATGATGCTGAAGCCTCCCCAGCCCATATTGGACCAGAGCTGTGTTGTTTTGGCTCATGGCTAGCAAAGGTTGCCAGCCCCTGTCATAGAAAGCCAACCAGACATTCTCTATAGTATGAAAGTTCACCTTGAGCAATGATCAAAGGAGTGACCCCGCTCTCCCTCCAACACACACGCATAGAAAAGGTTATTGTTCTGTTTGTCCCAGCTGTGGAGAAGTTCTCAAGCTTTTTGGAAATCTTGCTTTGGAAGAAAGAGGACCACATCAGTCAGTCTAACTACATGAATCCATTTTTCCAAAACCAACCTAAAGGGGCAGAGGAACTATAGAGGTAGCAGATGCTGCAGTGTTGGGGTGGGTGGGGATAGGAGTGGAACTGCATTTCTCTGGAAACGTGTTTGCTGTGGAGACAGATACTTTACAAAGTGGAGTAATTGTAGTTATGCCTACTTTACAGAAGGTGAAAACTATGGCAAAGAAAAATGAAGCAACTTGCCAAACTTCACATGGGACATGAATAACTGGGATCTCTTGACACTCAAGTCCAGTAACCTTTCTACAGGATCTTGCCTTCTCTTTCAAGGAGGTATATCCAGAGCCAAACTTTCTTAGAGCCGGGGGCTTCCAGAGCTAAGTTTTGATTTAGACAATAGGCCCAGGCAATAGGCAATAGGGCCCAGTCATCAATTTGAGATCCAGTTTGACTTCCCTAAAGTACAGGAATGGTTAGGATCTGCATTTTGGCTCAGGACTGCATCTACTTTAAAGCTAAGGACCTGTGTTATATATTTCATAGATTTCATAGACATCAGGGCTGGAAGGGACCTTGGAAGATCATCGAGTCCAGCCCCCCGCCCAAAGGGCAGGAAGTCAGCTGGGGTCATAGGATCCCAGCAAGATAAGCATCCAGTTTCATCTTGAAGGTGTTCAATGAAGGCGCTTGAACCACCTCCGGTGGCAGGCTGTTCCAGACCTTGGGGGCTTGGACAGTAAAGAAGTTCTTCCTTATGTCCAGCCTGAAACGATCTTGAAGTAGTTTGTGACCATTCGACCTCGTCATCCCTTGGGGCGCTCTGGTGAACAAACATTCCCCCAGATGCTGGTGGTCACCCCTGATAAACTTGTAGGTGGCCATCAGATCACCCCTGAGCCTGCGCTTTTTCAGGCTAAAGAGCCCCAGGGCTCTCAGCCTGTCATCATAGGGTCTGCTTCCCTGACCTCTGATCATGCGCGTGGCTCTTCTCTGGACTCTCTCAAGCTTCTCCACATCCTTTTTGAATTGTGGAGCCCAAAACTGGACACAGTACTCCAGCTGCGGCCTCACTAAGGCCGAGTACAGGGGGAGAATGACGTCCCGGGATTTGCTTGAGAGACGTCCCGGGATTTGCTTGAGACGTCCCGGGATTTGCTTGAGATCATCGAGTCTGACCCCCTGCATAGGCAGGGAAGAGTGCTGGGTG